AATGCCCCCCTTACTGGATGAGACCCGGAAAAAGCGTAGCACCTGCGCTATGGGCACTCGTAAGCAAGTAGTGCTTGACGTTAAGAAAATCTGCTTGCAAACTCTCCATAAATTTAGCTTCAGGCGACTGTTGATAAAGAACACTAAACACCGGAAGGAACCGAACCCGTAACGCGTTGCTCAAGAAGCAATATTGCTACCACCTGCGCTCCGACACAGAAGGCGCTTCATAATTCTTTTCAGAAAAAAGTTCAGCTGACACTGAAAGCAGATTTGAGTTCAGCGGCTCAATAAGTGAACAGAATAGAGGAAGGCCACTTCATTTGGCCGGATTGACCTTTGTGACCTTTTCTGGTGAGTTGCAAGGCATAACGGGAAGCTTCAATACTTATCAATGATTTATGTAGCAATACATGTAAAGTGTCTCAGCAATAATGTGCCAACCTGATACTTCTTTGCATTTCACAGTTCGTCATTCACCTTCTTCTTCTAACCGTTTTTACACATTTGCTTTCAACCTTAATCGCTTTTGCTTCACCAGTTCAGCTGCGCACGCTAGGAAGCAAAGAACTGGTCTTTCACAGTGCTCCTTTTTTAGACAGTAGATTGTTTTCGGAGGAAGCACGTGTATTGCTCTAGAAAATACAGCACCTCTCATGTCCAAATAATTTCCTGCTTCTTCTGGAAAAGTCAGCTCTCATCATGAGCACAAGTTTGATAAGCTTCAGAAGAACAAGTTGAAGTTGGTACCTTACTCCTTCATAGGTTGTGTTTGAGTCTCTTTTTTTTTCGCCGCATCGTCTAGACTCGGTTTGTTTCGTCTTAAGGCATTTTTCCACTTTCTTCCTCCTCGGATTGCTATTTCTTATTGTGAACTAGGTCGTCCCCTGCTTTATTTTCATTTACACATTCCAACTTTTTAATATTCATAGCTTTTCCCAGCTTAGTGCATGAAAAAATTCTTGGTACTGCTCATCTCAACAGTTTTTGTTTTCGTTTTACCAAGCCGTTTTTATGGTGAGTTTTTGCTGAATGGTCTGGCTTTCTATACGCTTCTATTACATTGATCAATCCACTATGTTACAAGTGTACTTCAGCTACGAGCTCCAAAAATGCGCCTTGTAAGATAGCGCGGGACACACTGCCTCGCGGTCGCCGCGGTAGCAAAATCGCGCGTGTCGCACGCGGCTAA